TTATTTTATAATTTTTTATAATTTAATACAATTTAAATTATAAAATAAAATTTTATATTTTTATTTAAAAAAATAAAAAATATTATTTAATAAAACTATGGTAGAGAATGGGATAGAGTGTTATGGGAAATTGAGCAAGCTAAAAGCTTTTGTCGTGTACTTCCCTGTCGTGCGTGTGCTTCAACGGTCGTAAACCCATGTGGATGATCAAAATTTAACCAACCTGGTTGAGGTTGGTGCGACCTTTTTGTCTGTGCGTTTGTGTTGTCACTATGAGGTGTTCGTCTATTCTATCTCTTTTATTGGTTATTTTTAGGCAAAAAGGGCAAATCAACCCTTGTACTTAAGGATTGGTGGCATGTCAGCCCTTGAACCTATGTCAGTGGCAACCAAAGCCTCCAACATATTGATCGGTGTCAATTAGCCCTTTTTTAATGGATGACCTCAGCAAATCATTAAAACTAACTTTTGTATGTTTTTTAGGTTTATTTAACATGTGCCCTTGGTCAAATTAGCTTCTTTTTTTAATGAATAATCTCAATAAATCATTAAAATTAATTGTTTGTGTGTTCTTCCGGTTAATAATGCATTAGTTACACATTCTTACATTTATTTCTATAAAAAATCACAATGGTTGGTTTTATTTTTGTCACCAATGTCACATGCATATTTTTAATTAAATTAGTTGATAAAATTAAAATTACTTTTTAATATTCTAATACAAATTAATTACAAAGTAATACAAGAAATGCACTCTTAACCAGTACTTTTAGGGTGTAGGTTAGAAATTCTCGTATTCTTTTTATTCTACTGCTAAATTGGCTCTACATTTTTTCTAGAATGTCTACACGGATTTTTCAACATTCTACAAATTTAATTGATTTATTTACAAGTTAACAAGAATATCTTCTTTTCTTATTTGTTTCTTTTCCTCTTTCCCCTTTCTATCCAAATCATCAACTAAAAAAAAAGCAAAATTAACCTAGATCTTAAATACATCTATTCCAAACAAAAAGAAACACGTCAAAAACTTAACAATTTCTATGAATTTGAACTCACATCTAATAGTTTCTACACAAACCTTGACTGATTCTTTGGACGACGGAAGGCCTAGGTCCTAAAATCTCCATGAAATCCTTTTTGATCTCTTTCATAGATTTAACCATTGAGGATTTTGTACAGCTTCTCTACTACCATCATCAAGTTCTCTTTCTCCCACTCTTGGCAACTTCATCATCTCATTCTAGGAAAAAGAAATTGCATCTTTACGCTTATGGAAGAGGATGAGCCCTAAGAGATTATTTATGGAAGATCAGGTTTCTAGATTTAGGATCACTACTCGACAAACATAGTTGGTTGTTACTCACGTTTGCTTTGTCATTGTCTTGAGTTTGGTTAAGATGTAGAGAAGGGTTAGTGGCATGGTAAGTGAAGGAGGATCTTGTTAAGGTGGTCTTCAATAAAAAAAAAAGAAAAAAAGAAAAAAAAGAAAGAAAGAGAGAGCAAAGTAACCAATTATGGTTATCTAACTAATTTTTATTTTTATTTTTAATATATGTTTCTTAGAATTGTTTAATCGGGGAAGAAGATTAGAAGACGACTTTTCATTTTTATTAATTAATTAATATGTAGTAACATCTAAGTTAAATTCATGAGAAAAAAAAGAAGAAGTTACATTGATATGTTATTTAATAAAAATGTTTGACATGTAAAAAAAGATCCATTTACAAAATGTCATCTAAGCATCCATGTTATTATTTGGACCTAGAAAAATGCCATTTAAGCAACAATCATGGAAATTAACGATTTGCTAAGCTCATCTATTAAAAAAGAGCTAATTTACAACTAATCAACAAGTTGGCGGCCTTAATAAAACCAGACACCTACAAGTTCTATTGTTTTTCTTTTATATAATCGAACTCAACACACCCATTTTTTTCGTTCTAAAAAGTCCAAGTCTTGTTTTCTTTGTCAAACTGCTTCTCTCTCTAGAATATTGGTATGGACAATCTACTATGGAGTAAGGAAATATGATTTAGGTATGAGAAAACAATCTAGTTTTATTATTGACACGAAAGGGTGACGACTTTGATGTCTTTGTAAGTGTGATGAGTATTTGATGTAGCTTAATTGAGTGTCTTTATATTTTTCATAACCTTTTGGGAAAGTTTGTTGATTATGTTTATGCTTTTGGTTACCTTGTCTTTTTTAGCTCTCAACTTTCCTCTTTGTTATTTAGAGCATGTTTGGGTTAGCTAGTAAGAGCTTTTACTTTTTTTGTATTATTTATGAGTGATAAGTTTAAATTTTTATTAGAAGGAAAATTTAAAAGTTACTTTTAAAAATTAAAAAAAAAACGAGTAAGAAGTGAGTAAAAAGGAAGTTTATAAAAAGTACAAATTTAAAACATTTCAAAATTTACTGTTTAAGGTCTTTTTAAGATTAAAAAGAAGTTGAAAAATGTAAGTTTTTAAGAGGAAAATTTAAACTTATAAAATATGAATAGTATCAAAAAGCTAAAGCTCTTACAAGCTAACCTAAACATGCTTTTAGTCAACCTGCTTATGAAAAATGGATTTTAATTGGTCCTTACATTAATTTTTAGGGAATATTGATTTCATTAGGCAATATACTTGGGATAAATAGATTTGTTGTATTAAAGAATACAAGAATGTAATGGTACAGCTTACAAAGTTCATTTGATCAGGTACTGTAAGAAAGTAAGTGGCCATAGCCTTACAAAACCTTTTCTTGTATTATTTTGGGGAAATAATTGTTGGGGAAGCATTCTTTGGCCCACCAAGTATCCCGGATGCCTTAACCCAAGTCTCCAAGTGCTTGTCTCTAGTATATTGCCTCATGAAATCAATAATCACTAAAGCCAACTCCTTATGTTCTTCATCCACCTCGACTGGTAATAAATAGTTCATAACATTGATAGATTGTAAAGGCACATCAAAGTTTGATAAATAATGCTACACTTAATAAAGTAGAAAGAAGTGAACCCAAAATTTAGAATATTATATGACCTGAAAAGGAGAAAAGACTTACAACCAAAAAATATGTATCATTTCATATAGCTCTCTTGTGGCTTCTCCTTGTTTTGCTTCCAAGAAAAATAGGTTTTGTACATAGGGTTTCTAATAGGTCCATATCTAATGTTACTTTGTTTGTCTTGTAGGCAAGTTGAAAGGCTTGATTGCCATTGAAATAGGTTGGGGGGTTGATATGCCACCAGTCATTAAATACAAGGGTTGATTTGCCCTTTTCACCTTTTTTCTAAAAAGTTTTTTCAACATGTTTGGCATAATATTAAGGCTTAGTAATTATATTTTTATAATTTATATAAAAAATAAAATATTTAACTTAATTTACTACACTAATAACATGTACATACTTTTTATCCTATGGTTGATAAAAGGGTAATGGTCTAAAAATAATTTTTTTGTATAACTTTTTTCATACAACTTTTACATGTCATTAACCCTATGTTTGTGTTGAAGGGAATTAGGGAAAGGGAATGGAAGGATAATTCCATTTTTTCACCTATAAATGAGAAAGCATAAGTTTTAGCCAATGTTAACCTTTAGCTTATTCTTGATTAAAGGCCACACCTTTTGGCTGAGCCCTAGACTCAACAAAATGTTTAGGCTATGCACCACTGTGTATGTTAAATAACCTAAAGGCATGCATAACTCAGGTGTAAAAGTATCATTTAAGTCATATTGGCCAATGGCTTTCAATTTATCTTTATGTGCGATTTCTTCCTTAGAGAATGTATTTGCACTATCTTTGTCGCTTAAGCTCTCATCTTTCACAAAGGTTCTTCTAGTTGTGTACCTTTCTTAAAAGACCATACATCAATCCTATTTGGTTTCTCTTGATTTTAAAATGGAGGTAATAACTACTTTTCCTCTTTACTAAGGCCTTGCAAAAAAATTGGAAAACTTTCATTGATACTTCCACCCCATTCTATGTAACAAGAACTATAAAGCCAATCAAGAACTTGACCACATTTGATGTTTTAAAATCCTCAAGTGCGTTACACATGAATTCTGGGAGAGGAAACCTTAATCCTATGGCCAAATATTATTTATACATAAGGAACCATCCATCCTTTATAGAAGTACATGCTCACTTATCTTCCCTTGTTACTCACATCAAGACAGTGAGTTGAATCTAATGCTTTAGTACTAACTCATTAAGCTACACATCCTCCTTCATTTTTGAAGCCTTAAAAGACAGCTTGATATTGATAGGACTCAAGGTGTTTCCAATTGGAGCCTCACAGGTGTTATGTGCACATTAGGATAAATCACTTATGTAGTGCATGGACAATTGTACATATATTGCACCAATACCCCTTAGTCACTCTCTTTAAAAGGCCTTACTCCTTGAACATTATTCATCTCATTAAAAACTACAT